AGCTATGTTTCCATCCACCTATTTTTCACAAATACCCATGACTCCGCTCAAGGTCTCTTATAGGCTGTGTGTTGTTCTTCCTCTCTAACAGAAGCACATGCTGAAGGAAGGAAAAGGGCGAATGCTTCAGGCCATCAGTCCACGGCACAGCCCCAGCAGCAGTCCCACACGCGAGCGTTCCCCATCTCCAACCTTCCGTCTGCCCTTCTTCACCAAAACCTCCCCGCCATCCTCGCCCTCGTCCCATCACAGCAGCGCCCTGTCCGGCTACACCTACGCTGCCCGCGGGCTGGCCATCAGCGAAGACGAGGAGGACGATGAAGATTAGAGTGCCACAGCGCACCACGCATCCATCTTCCAATACTGGCAATCCAACCTCAGAAACGAAGCAATCCTTACACGACCCATGGGTTTCGCTCTCTGTATTACTAACACACACGAAGGGTTCAAATGGAGCGATGTCTAGAACGTTAGTGACGGAGTCGGTTGCAACTTGAGGGGTTTTTAAGTCATTGTCAGCGATGGGATGCGAGTATTCAAACTCCAGCGTCTCGTCTTGAATCACGCTGGATTGGCGTGTGTTTTAAAACGAGTGCGCATGGTATTAATGCGTTTCATTTTTGTTTTAAGTTCCGTTTTAATGTTCTTATCGTAATATATAATTGTTAGACATCTCGTAAGTCACGTGTCTCTTGGGGGCGAGATTGATGTCTAACGTTGAAAACGCTGCGAGGCGAACTGTAAGATAAAAGCTAATTATCTAAATACAAGAGCTAAAAAATTAAAATGATTTGTCTGTATTACAAGGTGCGTAATCAGTGTTGCCGTGGTAACAATTCTACTAATTAGAAAAATACGCCAATATTATACAGGCATGACTGAGTGCAAAATGATAGTTTGTCTACATGAATTTGGTGTGTCATGCTTTAGTAAAGTCAGAATTCCAAATTTGAACACTGCGTTTTAAAAATATATGCTTAATAACCTAAGGAGTTGTCTGTTTTTACTGTAAAAATGAAAGTATGTTATTTCATCACCGCACAATGCCCTGTTGATCTCTCACTGTGATTGATTTCTTTCAAAGAGCTCTTAATGAATAACCATAAAACATAGGTTGAAGGGCTAGTTTTCTTTGGACTCAAGCTTGATAATTACATAATTAGGTTCTGCAAAATGAGTCTTGCACGTACGTTTTGAAGTCAAACCAATGGAGCTGTTGATAATTGTTAAGGAATGAAACCACTTAAAAGAAATATTCTGGGTTAAATACAACTTAACCTCAACAGTCGGTGTCCAGTGCAGAGTTATATACAAGGCAGTTGTTTTAAGAGTTATTCTGTTAATCAGTTGAGGGACAAAATGATGTACTGTGGTGAATGACAGAAGCTTAACTTGTATTTAACCCTTAACATTCACTTCGAAGAGCTTTGTCACCATTTTTTATGTACGTGTATGGATATGCAATGGTCCGTTTTAGACGGTACGTGTTTAAATTGAGATTGTACCACCAGTGATTATAATATCTACGTTCTGTTATCTCATTTCATAATTTGATGAGAGGCGGAGACTCAACAAACTGCTGTCCAGACTTGCACTGATGTCAAAATTCAACTATTGTTATGCAAATAGTTAATGCTTCATTTTCATGGTAATGTCTGTTTTGCAGCCTCTTGGCTTTTCCTTTGCACAAATGAAGTGACTCTTGGAGAGATTATTATTTTATTAACTTTGCTTTTCCTTATCCTGTCAGCCTTTGATTGTACAGGATGTCAACAGAGACAGGAAGACAAATAAATAGTGTCTAATGTACAAGAAGGGGTGTTGTATTTTGTTCTACCATCTAATTTACTACCAAGATGTAACATGTATGGGTATGCATAAATGCAGCACAGTACAAATATAAATATAAAAATATATAGATGTGCAGTGCTGGTAGATAACTTGTAAATTGTAGTTTGTTACGGATTCCAAAATTTACATGACAAAATTGTAGTTAGTAATGTAATCTATTACACATTTTAGGTAATATAATCGGACTACTTTTTGATT